GCACAGAGAGAGAAACTGAGGCCCAAAGACAGCAAGCACACATGCGTCATAAGTGATTCCGGCACAGGGCCAATAGTCCCATCAGGAAGATCTTGTATCTCTAAATCTACATCCTCTCGGGAAACATGCCTCCCAATCATCCCATTATATCGTCCCATTGTAGAGATAGGAAACCATAGGCTTAAAGAGGGGAGATAACTTGCTTCACAGCTAGTTATTTACACAACCAGGACTTAAACTCAAGTCCCTGTAACCTGAAGCACTACAGCTTTGGAGAGGAACCAAAGGATTGAAGTTAAGACTTAGCACTTCAGAATCAGAGCTAAATTAAATCCCAGTTCCTCTCCTTCCCAGATGTGTGACCTCAGGTAAGTTACTTGACTTCCCTGGCCTTTAGCTGCCTTCTCTGTAAAATGGACTTAATAGAAGTGGCCTTATAGGGCTTTCTGGATTAAATGAGCTACAGAACATGTTTAGCATATTGAAGTGTGCCAAGTGTGCGCCACCCCTCCCACCCCAGCTCCGCGCCTCCAGTGCCCACAAGCACATCTGCACGCACACAGCCACCAGCCCCAGGCTCCCACCTCCTCCTCCCCTGCAGCAGGCAGGCAGCGCGCGCGCGCGCGTTTAGGTCAGCTGGCTGGAGCCGAGGGGGTGTGGTGGTTCTAACTGGGGTTTCGGTTGGGAGGCTGGCACTGCTCTTGATTAATTTCCCCTGCTCCGCGCAACGTCGGCCAGCTTCTTGCGGCTGTCCTTTGTAATTATGCATTTCCCCCCTAGGGTGTCCAGCATTGGGCTGTTTTTCTGTTTTCTCCCCTTTATTCCTGCCACTGTGTCTTTCCGGTTCCTCTGGGGACTAGCCAGCCCAGCACCCAGCTCCCCCTGAGCTGTTTTGCTTCTCCATGCACTCGCCCCCAGGCCTGCCTTGCCCCCACCCAGTTTCTATTTTCCCCCAGGCTCCACTGGCTTTCCGTGGTTTCTCTTGGCCCAGGCTCAAGCCTGGCGTGACACGTCTGGTGTGGCCGCCCTCCCCCTCCCGCGTCGGCCGGGCAGCGCTGGCCGGGCAGGCAGCAAGTGTATCCAGGGAGGGGGCAGCAGAGCTGGGCGCTGCCAGCCCAGGTGCCAAGCCAAACAGCTCATGCGCCACGTCTGACTCGGTACCTGGAGCCTGGAACGCCAGGCTGGCTGGTCCCATCCTCTACCCCGGCCCTACTCCAGATTCCCCCAGACCTACTTCCTACAGCCCTGTGTCTGGTTCTAGCTGTAGAAAGCAGACTGCAGGACAGAGCCTTCCCTGAGGCTCCCAGAGTATCCCAGAGTATCCTCTCCTGCCTTGGGGTAAAGAACAGCCTTCTCCAGGGATACCTGGCCCACGGTGCACCTGGCCTGCTCCCGGGAAGCACAGCACACCCTGGAGAGCACAGCCACAGGCGTGTACCCTACATGCTCCCAACAGGAAGCAGGCCATTTCCACTTGCTAATACTCTGGGAAGCAGAGGAGTCCCCCGATGATGGCTGCCATGAAGTGACCTCCTTTTTGGCACATGAAGCCCCACAACTGGGGCGCCCTCTCCCTCCTCCAGTCCTGACCTTAGGCAGCCCCTGACCTTGTCTGCCTGTGTCCTCATCTGACAACAGACAGAGCGGCTACCGAAGAGGAGTTTCGGGAGGGGGAATGGGGTAGCGTATGTGAAACAGTCTTTGTGGGGCTACACTCAGGGTGCTCTGTACAGCATCATTTGCTCCCACATCTGTCCTCAGCCTCTCAGCCTGTGCCTGGCTTTTCTGTCACTAAAGTGGAGGGACCTGGATTAGGTGGGGTGACACCTCACTGTGAGGTCTAAGGTAAACCACTGTGAATGCCACCACCAGCACCAACTTCCAAAAGCTCAGGACAGAACACCTACATAGAATCTTTGAGTTGAGTTATGCATACCACTCTTCATTACACACACACACACACACACACACACACACACACACACACTGATGTCCTGTGGGCAGAGAGACCGAGCTACCAGTGTGCCTGAGATGCTTGGTTACCCTCTAGGGCTCACTTTTTATTTACAGTTCATCCAACATGTTCTTCATGAGATCTTGTCATGTGCCAAGCTCTTGATGACCCAACCCTCCATCCACCCAGATGCCAAAGCCAGAGGACTGGGTGTCACTTTGACCTCCCTCAACCTCCACATCCGTCAATGCTCTTACTACTAATAATCACAGTAGTAGCAGTAAAAGTTCCCATTCTGTGTCTTTTTTGTACATCAACTCATTTCATGCAATTCTGTTGAGGTGCAGTCACACCGCAGTACTGGAATGTTTTAAAATGTGTTGAATTTAGTACTCAGCACATGTTGACAGAGACATTTTGTCCTGGTATGGGTCGTTTGTTTGGTACTTAACCCACAAGCTAGAATTTGTTGGTATCAGTTGCTTCATGCCATGTTACCCTTTCCAGCCAAAATAATATTTTAGTACTCATCATGCTCAATGAATACCAAGGTAGCACCATAGATAACAGCGTCACCTCTACTTGGCTGAAAAGGAAACAGAAGCACTTCGGTTGGGTAACCTGCCCCAGGTCTTCCAGCTCGTGAGAGAAAGAGCTGAGATTTGATCCCAGGGAATCTGGCTTTAGAGACATGATGACATGGCATCTTGATCCCCTGAGTCTATCAACATTTCCTTTTGCCACTGTCCCTGCCTTTCCTTCAGCCACTGTCCTCTGAGACTCCTGCCAAACTGACCTTAGAAGACACAAACACTGTCACCTGGCTATCCTGCCAGAAGTTCTTCTATGGCTCAAAATTGTGTTGAGCATAAAGCCCAAATCCTTAGGGAGCTCCCTGCCTACTTACATGGCATTATCATATGCTAATTCCAGCTATTTTCTCATCACTGCCTTTCTCACCAGTCCCCCAAAGCACACAGTTCAGCCTAACTCCCTGTTCACAAATCCTCCAGCGTTCTCTTGACTCTGTACCATCTCTATGTTTTGCACACTCTGCCTGTAATATCTTCTTTGCCTGAAAAACACTTCCTGATTCTTCAAGACTCAATGCAGGCACTGCCATCCAGTAAACCCTCAAACACACTGGTAAATTCTATGAATTTATGACTGGTTAGATGAGCAATATCACAACAACATCGCCTCACACCACTGCCTGGTGCAGCCTCTGGTCACAAATCTCTCCCACTTCATGTGTATGTCATCACCATGGCACCCTTGTGAGGTAGGCAGGAAAGATCGTGAGTCCCACCTGAAAGATGGGCACCGTGAAGCCCAGAGTGGGAAGGTGACACAGACTGTGAAGTTCAGAGCCAGGGCTTGAAGCCAAGTTTTCTGTCTGGCAGGCTGCTACTTTCTTCACAGGATCGCAAGAGGCAAAATCCTCTCCACTGCCTTATACCGATGGGAGTGGGGGACATGGCATCGGTCCCCTGCCCTTGTCAACCAAGTAACAGAGAGTAAAAGGGCTGGAGTGGCCGCTAGTTGTTCAGCTCTCCAAGCCGCAGGACTACACACTTCCCAGAGTGTGCAGGGGAAGCTGCCTGTCTAGCCCAGGAACTCCCTGCCTCGTCTGAAAATGGGATCTTAAGATGTTTTAAGCAAAGGGTGTGATTCATAAATTTTAAAAAAAATCAACTTAATAAGTGCAAAAGAAATCCAATGGAAGTCCCATTTTTTCCTATGAAGTCCTCTCTGAAGCTTTGGATGAAGTGTCAACCTTTCCCTCTCCCCTATGCACACACACACACACACACACACACACACACCCCTTATCTTGGGCTGCTCCTGCTTTTGCTGGTGCTCTAAGCAAATGTTCAGTCTGCTCTGCCAGTAGGGAACAAGCACGAGCTTTCCTGGCCTTTGGTCTCCTGACCCTGTCCCCTAGGGGCCCACAGTGCTGCTTGGTCCCGGTAGTGAGGCCGGCTAGAGGGAGTGAGGCTCCCTCTAGACTCATGTAGACAGAGGGCGCAAAGATGGGAGAATAAGAGAAGCTAGTTTCTGCCCCTATAGGCAATCAGGCAGGTGGGGGTGTGGGATATTAGGGTGCAGATCCCAGAGCAGGAGGCCAGAGGATGTGCAGGCTGGCTGCAGGGGACGAAAGCCCTAGACATGGGAGGTGTGGCACAGCTAGTTAGCTGGGCCCCCGTGGCGATACCCATGGCTGAGGAGACCATAGGCCTTTGTCCCATATTCTGCTTGTGCCTCCATTTCCCTCACTGGCCAGATGCCCTAGCCTAGTCCTGTCTTCCAAATTTGATTTCTCCCCAAATCCATATTCATCCTCCCATCTGATGTAGATGCACCCGTAAGTTCAGCTGGGCTCCACAGGCACATGTGAGGCACCTATCACATTCTAAGCCCATGCTGTGCACTGTGCAAAAAAAAGCCAATACCTGTCCCCAGGATGGCAGCCTCAGCTCGGGTGCCATCAGCTTAGAGCACCTGCTCCTGCCTCTGCCTACAGGCACAGATTTGCTGCCATGGTGCCCCTGCTGGGCAAGAGAGGAACTGCAGGGTTCATGAAGGGATGGTTCTGCTACGGGTGGCCTGAGCCCCAACTGCAGTCCCACCCTCATGGAGGGGAAGTGGGTGTGTGAGCCCTGCCTCCCCTCCACCCACAGAGCCCTGGGGGCCAGAGAAGCTAGGTGGAAAAGACAGCCCCTTCCTGACACCCCACACTCCAGGCTGCAATGGCAGAGCGCCAGTTGCCTGGGGACTGCTGCCCTGGTGGCCCTACCTAGGGAGGTCCTATTCCCATAGTCCTCTGGGAAGGCCTTCCTGCCCCAAGATACACAGACAAGTGTACACACACACTGAGGACGGCAACAAAACCCCTGAAGCAACCAAAGGCAGGAGCAGCTCCCTGTCTAGAGCATGGAGCAGGAGAGGGGGCCTTGAGGAGAAGGGGGAGCCAAGGCAGGGGGCCCCAGCTGTGACTCAGGCCCTAGGAAGCTGGTGACTCCGAGCACATCCCTTGGTGACTCACAGAGACTGCAGGCTCGGCAGCTCCCACAGCGCCTCGGCAGGGATTCCTCCCAGCTGGTTGTTCTGCAGCATCCTAGGAAGAAAGAGAAAGGGCTTTGAGGACCCGATGGTGGGTGGATCTCGGGGCTGGGGGTGGGACTGGAGAGCTAATCCCTTGAACATCCCACCCCATGTTAGACCCTCTCTTGCTGCGGCTTCAGAGCCCTGGGAAGAATCTGGTCCAGGCCCCCATCCTGTTAGTAGGGAGCCCAAGTGTGCTCAGAGGCTGGGAGGTGCGGCTTGGGCCATGTGTCTCAGAAGGGTTCCTAGGACGGGAAAGAGCCAGGAAAATGGTGAAGATAAAGGATGAGGCCACGCTGGGAAGCAGTGAGGGTCAAAAGTCAGAATGCACAAGATTTTCTCTGAAGCCCCAGTTTCCCTTCCATTTAGCTGAGGTGCTAATAGTTTCTTTGTGGAAGAGGAGGGTGTAGATGAGGGCCAGGCTGTGCCTATGGTGCCAGGGCTCTGGACAAGTGTTTTCTGGCACCGCTGTCTATAGAAACTTGGTGAAGTGGCCCAGACCCTGCATCAGCCTGTCCTGGTGATCCAGTCTCACACGATCACACACAGGCAAGTGCATGCTGACCACAGGGAACAGTCCCCTGACTCGGCTGGCCTCCCGGAACCAGAACCTGGCCAGAGGACACCAGAATCTAATTTGCAGCCATGCATTTGATAGAAACCTAGTCCTCAGCACCTCTCCTTCCCCATGCACGGAGGAACCTGGCCAGGGAGGCATTGGGGCAGGAGCCGTGAGTGCCACACTAGAAGAGCCAGAGACACCAGGGAGGTGATTAGTGGTTTTCAAAGCTCTTCCTTTGGTTCCATGGAGGTGCCTGGGGATCACCCGGATGGGTAGGTGAGACACAGCCTAGAGCCCGCCTACACTCCATACCCGCAAGTCTTTCATCTGCCTCATGTATCAGGACTTCCACATGAGGTGTTGCGGGTTTTATGTTTTCCTTTTCCCCTTTTTTTCTCTTTCCTGATTTCTTTCTTCCTTTCTTACTTCCTCTTTCTCTCCTTCCTTCCTTTCTCCCTCTCTTCCTCCTTCATCTCTGCCTGTCTCTAGGACTCTCTGTCTCTCTTCTCCCCTCCCCTCCCTTCTTCTTCTCCCCTCCTTCTCTCTTCTTTCTTTCTACCAGGTAGGGATGCTAAGCAAGCACTCTACCATTGAGCTACACCCCCAGCCCTTGCTTTCAATTTCTATAGTGTACAATGGAAAATTTGTTTCAACTCCTCCATTTTAAAGGTAGAAAGACAGAGACTCAGAGAAAGAGAATCTGCCAAGACTCAGAGAAAGAGAATCTGCCAGCTGCTCTGGTGAGGTGCTGGTCTGGTCTCAAGTCTTCTAGCTGCAGAGAAGACCCCCTTCCTGTCTTCCAGTCCCTTGAAAGGATGGGGCAGCAGGCTCTGCCTCAGTGGAGGAGCATCTCAGAGGGTCTCGCCAGGATCTGGCCAGCCTTCTCCCACGAGCCCGGCTGGTGAGGCTCAGCGTCCAGCATCCCAGTGACTCAAACACCCTAGTTCTTCAGTGCTGATGGAGCCTCTACTTCAGGCCAGGTGTGGCTGCTGTCCAGCCAGGTGGAGGATAACACAGTCAATGTCACCCTTCGAGACTCCATGCAGCAAGAAGAGGGCTACGCTAGAGGTGGGCATGCAGAGGTTTCCTCTGGGGGTGGCCCAGGGCACCAGCTCCCTCTCACTCCTCTGTGGCCCCCAGCAGGGCTGCAGCTGGGACAGGCCCCAGCTTGGAAGCCGCAAGCCACCTTTCTGGACCTCTAGTCTTTGCCAAGACAGCACAGGCCAGGAATCCTCAGCCATAGACTGCAGAGGTGCTGGGCTCTGCTCCGGAACAGGGCGACTGCAGAAAGCTCCCGCCCAGTCTCCATGATGCAGGCAAGGAGGAAGCCCTTGACAGTCAGCCCCTTCCTCCCAGGTCTAGCTCTAGTGTGAAGCAACGGAGGCCCAGGAGCACTCTTCTTAGCTGAGGGCCACAGCAGCCTGACACAGAGAGGGCACAAGTGGTCGCCGAGAAGGGAGGAAGACCAAGGTCTGGCCCCTCTCTGCCCTGGTGTGGGTGGGTGGGGAGTCTGGGGAAAGAGACCTGTGAGGAGCATGGGCTGGGACCTTCGGAGATAAAGACCTGGAGGCCTGACAGACACACCCCACACCCTCAAGCTGGGCATTGCGGCACGTGAGCTCTGGCCATGGCTGCCCCCGTCCCTGCAAAGGTACTCAGGGTAGGAGCCCCAGAGGTCCAGGCATTGTCTCACATGTCTGGGGCAGCAGAAACAGTGGCTTCCCTTAGCTGCAGTGTGAGTGGGTGGTAGCTCTTGTGTCTGTCTGGGCCTTCCTGGGTCTGAGGGACAGATAGGAATAAGGCTGGCCATCCCTGTGGGGTGCTATGCCCACCCCTCAAGGATCTGCAGATGGAACCCAGGGCCTCACGCATGCTAGGCGAGCATTCTACCAGTAACCTATACCCCCAGGCCTTTTTAATTGTATTTTGAGACAGAGTCTCACCAAATTGCCCAGGTTGGTCCTAAACTTGTGATCCTCCAGTCCAGTTGCCTGCACAGCTGGGATTCCAGGTGCACACCACCACGTGCAGCTGGGGCTGATGCTCTTGATGCAGGCCCAGTCAGGGCCCATGGGCTGGAGGGCTTGGGGAACCCACCGAGGAGGAAAGGACCAGAGCAACACCTCCAGGGTAGGCACGGAGTGGGTGAGAACGACATGAAGGAGGGCTTCTGTCGCGGTCGCTTAGGAAAGGATGAGGGAAGGGATCCCTTTTCTTTCCTCCTTTGCCCTGGGGAGAGCAAGAAGGGGCATGGTGACCCCAGGAACAGCCTGGCTTCCAGAAAGGAAGGCACAGTTCTGAGAAGGGTCCCGCACACAGGGGTAGCGGAGAACAGCTAAGGTCTCCAAAAAGAGGTCCCTGCCTGAGGGCCGCAGGGCTGAGGATGGGCTCTACCACTCTGCTTTTCTTGTGGGTCTAAAAAGGAAGCAACGGGCGGCCCTGGCACAAGGAGAAGCAACGTCACACGGTGCCTGGGGTGCACGTGCCATCTTTCACTTTGGGGTATTTGAGTGAGAGGATGTCCCCGGGCAGCCAACTGCGCCTACAGGAGAGATAGGACTGACCCAGAGGAGAGAGGCTTCTCTGCCAGGTGGTCTCCAAGGTGGGGCAAAATGGGGTCACTGGTGCGGGGAGGGGCAGCTGGTCTTGGCGCCCACCTGCTGCAGCCTCTCCCCGCTGCCCTCCTCACCACGCCAAGGCGCCGCTGGTGGAAAGCAGGCGGGCGGGCAGCCTGCGGTTCCTCCCAAGCTTTGATTTATTGCCTAACGCAGGCAAAGAAGAAAGAGCAGGCTCATCTCTAAGCCGGAGTCTTAGGAACGGGACGTGAGCCTCACGTCTTCTGAGGGCCCAGCGCACACAGCCCTGCTCTCTAATCCCGGCGCAGGTCTGAGCCTGCCACGGGGCACAGGCACGCCACCGAGCAGGCCGCCTGCACCCACCGCGCCATGGGCCCAGCATCTCCCCCCTCCCCGGGCAGCAGTGTTTATGGAGAGGGACACAGAGATCGGGCGGAAGAAGGAGGGCTGAGGGGCAGGGAGAGGGAGGGCAGGGTCTGAGCAGCGCAGAGAAAGAGGGCAGACAAGAGACTGATGCCGAGGACGTAGACAGGAAGGATCTCCAGGCGGAAGAGAGAGGAAGGGAAGGGCAGAGGCCAGAGAGGCCTAGGAGTCAGACACAGGGGAAATTGGAGAGAGGTGTCGGGGCCCAGAGGTGCCCGGGACCAGCAAGATGAAGAACAGAGCAAGTGCTTAGTCAAGGACAGTTGACTGGCTGGGAGCCTGCAGCTCCCGGACCCGGAAGAAGGGCCGCCAGCAGCCCCAAAGGTGATACAGTCCCAAGCCAGAGCACAAACTGCATTTCAGTCTCCTCCCATCCTCTCAGCTAATGCACTTGTGCAGTCAACAGCCTACTCAACTGTACAAAGAAGACCTACAAATATAGTGAGGGCTGCAAGAATTGCAGAGCCGGAGAATGTCTCACCACTTAAAGGAAGCCCCCAAATGCTTATTCTATTCCTTCAGAATAAACCCTCAGAATCCTTATTTTCTTCCCAAACTCATCCCTGGGGTGGTGTGTTCTCTCTAGGAACCTCTCACACCTACCTTGAGACTCAGTGTGTCCTCTTTCTTCTACCAATTTCCTCCCTCCCTCATCACTGGGACAAAGTAGAACACAGATTGGGGTGACAGAAGACAATGCCTCTACCTTCCCTCCTCTAAAATGGGTCAACAGTTCAATAGTAAAAGGAAGCCAGACGCAATACTACGAGGTCATACACCACTCTCACTTCTCTTTTCTTCAAAGGAAAGGTAAGAGGGCTAGGAGGAGGCAGCCTGGAGTCTGAAGGAGGAGCTGTGTGCTGTGTTTGCCCCGAGAACAGACATTCAGGGCTGGTGACACTGAGACTAAGTTGAGCCTAAAGAAACCCATCTGGAGCCCTCTTCAGGAGCAGTCGTACCCTTCTGTAGACGCAAGGGTCTCGGGGACAGCGACCTCTGCTGATGGTCATTCCTCACAGCAGAAAATAAAGACACCACTTTCCTGCACAGTTGCCACACAGCCGGGTACCATGAGCCCGTTACAGACAGGATGAAAGCAAAGAAACAAAAACAGCAAGGGAAACGAAAAGTGAAGCTAAGGAGATGAGAGGCAAATTGATGGGAAACTCGGTCTTGGATTATAAAACTGCGATTTTCTCTTGATTCTCAGTGTGGCCCCGGTGGGTAAGAAGGGGTCGACTCTACTTACAGGATTTTCAGGCTGTAGAGGCCAGAGAATGCTTGTCCCGGGATGTGGGAGAGATGGTTCCCCGAGAGACGCCTAAAAATCGGAGACAAAGGTCAGCAGTGTTGGCCGGTTATCCAGAGAGAGGGCGACCTCCCTTGGTTTGTGAACTAATGGGATAGGAGAGGGGAAGAAGGGGCGGTAAGTACCATTTACTGACTCTACAGCTCATTTAGCTCTCTACATGCCTCATCGAAACTCTCATAATAACCCTGCAAGGTACTTATTACAGTTTGAGTACCTCTTATTTGAAATGCTTTAGACCAGAAGTATTTGGAATTTCAGGCTTTTTTCAGATTTTGGAAAATTTGCAAATGTATAATTATCTATCTTAAGGATGGGTCCCAAGTCTAAACACAAAATCCACCGTCTCGCATATACATAGCCTGAAGGTAATTTTATACATTTTTTTGTTTTCCCTGCTGGGCATTGAAGCCAGGACCTCACACAAGCTAGATATGTGCTCTACCACGGAGCTGCACCCCAGGCCACTACAATAATTCAGTTCCCTGCTGTTCTAACTCCCACCTGTTACATGCAGTCAGGTGGCAGGACTGTCCCCTTATAGTGTCATGTGAATGTTCAAAAAGTTTCAGACTACAGCTTGGGGTTAGGACCACTCAACTTGTATTAACCCAAACTTCAGATGAGGAAACTGAGGCTGAGAGAGGTCAGGCGCTGGCCCTCCAGGTCACAGAGCCAGTCGGGGGCAGGGCAGGTGTCCTCCCCCAGATCTGAGCTCCAGGCCCAGGGCTCCTCTGCACTGCTACGCTGTCCTCTGGGCAGACCTGAGTTGCCCACAGCCTGCCCTGGACTACGGTACTGTGTCACAGTGGACACGGCTCACTCCCACCAATCCAGGAGCATTGGGAATGAGGTGCTGGATCACCCCAGCATTCTAGGCTAATTGTTACCATGTCTGTCATAGAGTGATCAATTCTAAAAGGAACAAATGAAATGAAATATATTCAGTGCCAGCACTTAGGGCTCACATCTGACCATACAGAGTTTAATGTGGATGCCTTAGAGACACTCTGGACCTCCAGAGTCCCCATGAACATCAGTTGCTATTGGGAGGCCTGTGCTGGCATCAAAGAAGCCAGTTTTTAAAAAATATTATCTTGGAACCAGGCTTGTAATCCTAGTGCTCTGGGAGGCTGAGGCATGAGCATCCCAAGTTTGAGCCCAGCATGCGCAATTTGGCAAATTGGTGAAACCCTCTCTCAAAACAAAAAAATGAAAAAGGCTGGGGATGTGGTTCAGTGTTGAAGGCCTTGAGTTCAGTCTTTCAGTAGTAAAGCACTTGCTTAGTATGAACAGGGCCCTGGGTCCCATTCCCACTGTGGGGGATATATATATTCTCCAAAAAAGTCTCTTTATTTGACATTTGCTGTTTATAAAACAACTGTGTGGAAAGGCATTGTGTTAACTGAGGTCCCCAAGCCTGTGTTCTGCTGATGTTCTGTGGATGTGTCCAGCTCTCTCTTCAGGAGCAGGAGGTGTAGAATCAGCCTTGAGCTCTCAGATTGTGCTCCTGTCACCTGCTCTGAGTACCCTGTGCTTTGCTCTCATTTGTCATTCCCAACCAAGATGAGTCAGCTCCCCTAAAAGGTAAGCTGTCCACTTCCTTTAGGATCTGGCTCCTCCTCCTCCTCCTCCTCCTCCAGGAAGGCTTCCCTGCCCACTGGCAGCCCTACTGTCCTAGTGCCCAGATGCCCCAACCCACGGGGCCACATCCCCCTTCTGACTATTGAGGGTCCTCCGTCTCATATACGAGCTCACTGAGGGCAGCAGGTGGGCCCAAGCTGATTTTCCACACAGAGGGGTCCTGCAGGACCTGGCCTCCACACCCAGCCACAGCCCTGGGGCTGATGGACTCCTAACTCCTGCAGGACAGGCTGGACCCTTGGGGCTGGGGTAAGCTGGGGACAATTGCTAAGGGAGATGGGATTGAAGGTGTTTTCAGGCTCAGAAGCCCACAGTTTGTAGAGTTTAAGCAACCTCTCCCCCAGGAGCTATGGTGTGTGAACAGAAGGGTACATGGGGCTGGGAGGTGTTGGAAACACAGCTAGGATGACAGTGAGAACAGGGACAGAGTGACGTGACCTCCCAGGGCAGACAGGTGGGGCAGTGATTTACTCATGAGCACCCTAGGGACAAGGCCAGATTCTGGAGTCCAGGCTGATAGAGACGCTGGGTGAGAAATTAGCCAGAAAGCGCTGTGGGGAGGAAGTTGATCTGGTAAGGGAAAGTCTGAGAAGAAGACCCTTCAGGCTATGGAGAATCACAGAAAGTTTTGAGCTGGTGAGGTGCACTCTGAGGGTTTTGGGGTGTATTAGAATGGAGGGAGGAGATCTGCCACCGAGGGGGCTTGTGCACTCTAGAAATGGGGGAGGCTAGGTCAGGAGCAGTGGGAATACAGAACAAGGGGAGGAGGTGAGGGACACCTCAGAAGAACCACCCGGTCCTGGGGAGGGGCTGGAGGCAGGGCACAGGGGACCACAGCAGCTAATAGGTGACTTTGGGGAGAGGTGCAGCCATGGACAGTAAGAGGGAAAGCTGCAAAGAGCTATTGGTTTTGGAAGGAACAAAAACTAGATTTCAGACCCTGTGGCCCGGCACTGCCACCCAGGGGTCACTTGTGGGTCGGAGACCAGCCCGACACCTGACTGTCGAGAAGAGCCACCTCCCAAGCCACTTTCTTTCCCCTCCAGTTCCACCCTCCTCCTGGGGTACCCTGGAGCCTCCAGCTGGTAAAGGTGACCAGAGCTTTGCCTCCCACCCTCGTCCTTTGGGGCAACCACTCACAGCTCCTCCAGGAAACGCAGGTGGCGGAAGAGGCCAGGCTGAAGCTCCGTGAGGTTGTTCATGCTGAGATCTCTGCATGGAAAGAAAACGCCAGGGGCTGTGAGTTGCCCATCGGTGCCCGTCTGTTCTACGTAGCACCAGCCATTGAAGGGGAACCCAGGGTCCCACCACCCTCCCACTGTGCTGCACCCTGAGAATGAGAACAGAGCCACTCGGTCCAGCTTCCCCTTCTCCCCTCTGCCCTCCACTGTCCCTTCTGGGGCTTCCCTGGGACTGTGCCGGAAACTGACCTCCATGAGGGGAAGAGCTGGAGGAAAACGCATGGAAGTTCAGAGCAGGGGCAGGGAGTCCCTTCATGCAAAAAATACTTCATCTCCTTTTTTACCAGTGGGGAAACTGAGGCCCAGGATCACGGCCATTCTGACCTACAGGGCAGGCTCACAGCGCTTAAGCGCTGGGGCACTCACCCTGGGCCGGCCACAGGGAACAGTCTTTCAATCGGCCCCAGGTGAAGTGGGTTCTGATGCCCTCTGAGGTCTCCCTCTGCCAGCCTCTTTCTTGTTTGCCCCCCACCCAGCTCCGTCTCTTGCCTTTCTCGGGTGGGAGGTCATGACCTCTCGGTGCACCCCAGAAGATGCCTTGATTCCTAAGCAGAGAGATGTGAAGTTCTGATCCCTCCCATGGACTCACAACCTAGACCATTCTAAGCTTCCTGTAACCTAAGAGGTCCCATGGGTGGCTTTCATGTCACTGTCCTCTGAGATGCCCTGCACATCAAATAACCACAGTCCTTGCATTGACATTACTGGAGGCCCACTCTCTGCCAGGTACTGGCAGACCTTTATCCAAATAATCCTGCTTAATCCTCACAACAGCCCCGGGTTAGCTTCCATCTTACGTTTAAGAAAACAAAAAGAAAAGAGCACAGAACCTCCTGAGTCAGAAGCCTTGGGCTCCTGACCAATATGACCCTTTGTTTCCTCCTCCATGAGAATGGGATGAATAACAAGCTAGTAAAGGCCTTGTAAGGATTAAGTGAGCTAATGTTTACAGACTGTCTAGTAAACAGTACATACACAACAAATATTTGCTGTCCTCCTTTTACCTTTCCCTCAGCTCCCTGTAGGCCAGAGCCCCACGCCAGGGGGTAGGTGGGGAGGAGCTGGGGCCTTGGTTTGTGGGTCCCACCCCACGCTCTATGGTAGCGTTTTCTTCTCAGTTTGTGCCTGGGTGCGCAGCAGTGTCTGCGATTGCATTTGTGTGTGCCTGACACACTTGGTCTCCATCTTATTGCGATCTCTTAGTGGCTCCTTCTCACCTCTGTAGAGAGACAGGGGTGGGCCCAGAACAGCCCGCCGCACAGCAGGGCAGTGCCCACAGGTACTGCTGCAGGCTTCTCCCTTCCTCGGGAGGCGTGTTCATCCACAGGCCTCAGTGGCTCTGTGTCTCCCAGAGAGCAGCGTATGCAGTGCGTGTGTCTTTAGAAAGGCAGGCTGGAGGGGCTGGGGATTTAGCTCAGCGGCAAAAGCGCCTGCCTGGCAAGTGCAAGGTCGTGAGTTCGGTTCCCGGTACCGGAGAAAAACCAAAACCAAAAAAAAAGAAAGGCAGGCTGGAAACTGGCCTGGTGGCGCACGCCTGTAATCCCTGCACTCGGGAGGCTGAGGTTTCGAGGTGAGTTCAAGGCCAGCCTGGGCTTCACAATGAGTCTAGGCCAGCCTGAATTACATACTGAGACCCTGTCTCAAAAAAAAGGAAAAAAAAAAAGAAAAGAAAGGCAGGCTGGGAATAGCAGGGAACACGTACTTGAGAGCCCAGTTCCAATCTATAAAAAGACTGTTTAGTCTCAAATGTTTTATCTTTGATAAAGCTCGGACTCTGGAGTCCATGTCCTCTAAGGAAGGAAGGCATTCCATGCAAGGTAGAGCCAAGGCCCTGGCATGCTGAACTTGGGCTCGTTCTCATCTACATTTCCCTTCTGCTGCCCTGGAGGCACAGCAGGGCCATCTCCAGCCACCCCAGCCTAGAGCAGGGCTCAGCAGCTGTGTCTGGCATGCTGGTGGTCCCCGTGGAAGGAGGAGAGGAGTAGGAGGACAGGGTTCCTCCTGGATTTATAAAGCAGGGGTCTGGTCTCAGGATGTTCCCAGGCTTCATCCACTGGCCTCGGGTTATGACTGGCCGTGCAGATGCAGGGGCACACTGGACAGTGGTGGGGAAAGTGGGGTGATGTTCACAGAAGCCCACGCTGCAGATCAGAGTCAGATCGGACTCCTCCCGCTCAAGTCCTAGGCCCAGCTCACCCTCAGCAAGGAGGGAGGTTCGAGGTGCCACAGAAACGATTACCTCTGAATATCTACCCTGTGCATTGCTGGATGTGTCTGGACAGGCACAGAGCGGGAGTTCAAGGAGCTCTTGGGGCATGTGACTCAGGCCTCATCACTCAGCTGTCCCTCCAGGGGCCGCACTGGAGGCTCTGATGAGGCTCCAAGGCCCCCACCCCGCCCACCCTCTCCGCCCCACCACCCTGACGAGCGGCCTCATTGTTCTTCTCTGGAGAGGAGGGTGCTGCACCCCCATGGCTGCCCCCACATCCTGCGCAGCCCAGCTGCAGAGCTCCATGGAGAGCCAGGGAGGGGCAAGGACAGGGATTTCAAATGGTCCGTAGGGGGAGCCCCATTCAGGCCTGGCTCTCTCATAAAAGGAAAGGGGATGAGGCCAGTGCCAGGAAAAGGGGAAGGAAGAGGAGCGCCAGGGTTAGAAGAGGGTGGAAAGGCAGATTCGAAAGCTCAGAGCCTCTAACCACACACCCTCGGGATGGCCAAAGGCCCAGGTAAAAGGCACTGGGCCCTGCACAGTGACAGGCGGGGACGCCCCCCTGCAGAGTCCCCCCAGCAGATGCTCCCCACACTGACATGTACTATCAAGTTGGTGGGTCTGACCTATGACTGTCCTGGAAGGTCAGCTGGGCAACCCAGAGGACACAGCTGAGACATTTCAGCCATACTTGGACGCAGGGGTAGCTGAGGGTGCTCTGATCCTTGGGTGCCTGGGCTTTGGTTGTAGCAATGCTGGCTTGGCTGAATGAACCTGCATTTATAGGGTGGAGGTCATATGTTGGAATACGTGAACTCTTGGATGTGGTTGTCTGTGGACATACATGTTCCATATTGGGGGGTACATGTGTGTATCTGCACATGTGCACATTGCAGTGCTGGCCCATTAAGAAGTCACAGACTTGCTCAAAGCATCCACCTATTATACAGACAGAAGCTCTTTGGGAAAAATGAATAGCTTCACCCAAATCTCACCCTTTAGCTTGGGAGACCTCTTTTTGTTGGGTGAGTTTCAATTAGCCTGGTTCATTCTGTGGCCTCTGGTCTCTCCTCTGATCTATCTCTGGCTCCCAGGGAGGAGAACAGTTTGCCTGATGACACTGTATTAGGGTCTAATCTGTGGCTGAATTGGAAAGATGCCTGAACACAAAACCTGCTCCACCCCATCGCCCTGTGACCCCCGCAGGCTCCCACACTCAAGGGTCCAGACTTAATCTCTGCCATTGCCATTTTGCAATTCTTCATACTCTTTAGACAAGAGGGTCTACATTTTCAGTTTCCATTGCTGCTCTCCACTGAGAAGCAAGAGGACCCACAGGCTTGCAGTGTCATCCTGGACACTTCCCCTGGCAGCCCTAGGATACCCAGAGGGGCTATATGTCCTCTCTGGGCTGGACACATCATGATGGGATCCAGGGCAGAGGGAGGTGAGGGGGCGAGGCTGGCAGGAGAGTATGGAGTGGGAGGCAGCCTTGGGCATACTAAGAAAGTGTTCTCAGAGCTTCACGATGTGATGCAACCAGACCACCCCAGGAAGCTGCTGCGGTGTCATCTCCAAGCTGGACAGGTCTGATAAGGGAAGGTGCTGCAGACTCCAGGGGCAGAAAGCAGCAAAAACCGGGGTGGAGGGCTGTGGAGTGGGAGTGGCTCCCCAGGCCTTCCGGCTGATACCTGAGTTGGGGGCCAGGACTGTTCTGAAGGAACACTGAAGGCAAGCCCCGAGTTCTGCTGGGGTGTACTTGCGGAGGGACCCGCCCCCATAGGAGAAGAGTCCCAAGATGCTTCTTTGCTCTGGACTCGGGCTGTTCAGCTCTCAGCTAGGCAGAGCCGGCTTAGGTCACATTATTTTTATTGTATATATTTAAGGTACACAACTTGCCCTGACACATGTATACACTGGGAAGTCGTCAGCATATCAAGGTAGTGGACGCACCCATCACCACACAGTGCCTTGGGGCAGGGTACCTAGGATCTACCCTCCGCAAAGGCCAGTTAGGGTGTTGGGGAGATGAACCCTGTCCGCAGCCATAGCTGTGTCCCATAGTCACCTCTCCTACAAACAGGCGTCCTCTGAACCCCTTGGCATTTCGTACACACTCACTTGGCAATGGTCCTGAGCACTCCCCATGGGTCTGGCACGATGCCTGCCTTTATTATTACCCAGCACAGCTAAGTAGCTGTGCAACCCCTGATCATGTCTCTTCATACTCTAAGCCCCTGTTTTCCCATCTGTAAAGTGGGAAGAATAATAGTACTTGCCTGACAAGAGTGTGACATATATGAGTTAACAAATTTAAAAATACCCTGCTCCGTAAATATCATAGTTGTCTAACTAAATTTAATTATTAGTATCAAATGATGCATTTGACTGAGCTTCTTCAAGGCAAACAATTTTAGTGAATCCTCCTATCTTACGGAGGTGCCTAGAACATAAAGGTATTCAATAAACATTCAAAAAGAAATGCATTAAAGGGCTGAGGTGTGGCCCAGTGGTAGAGTGCATGCCTGGCATGCAGGAGGCCCTGGGTTCTGTCCCTATCACCATACAATAAACAAGGAAACAAATAAAAGATCAAAACCAAGTAAATGCATTACAGATATAGATAGATGCTGCCCTTCCTTGGCCTTGAGCCCTGTGGTTGACAGCTTCCACACCAGGGAAATCTTTTCCCATCTCAAATCTCTTCTCTCCCACCACCGGTGTAAGGCATAACCTACAAAGAGCCTACTGCTTGCTTCTGA